CAGTCTGGGCGACAGAGTGAGACTCCAACTCAAAAACAAACAAACAAACAAACAAAAAACTAGCTGGGCATGGTAGCACGCGCCTTTAGTTTCAGCTACCTGGAAGACTGAGGCAGAAGGATCGCCCAGCAGTTTGAGGCTGCGGTGGCCAGGAGCGTGCCACTGCACTCCAGTCTGGGCGATAGAGTGAGACTCCAACTCAGAAAAAAAAAAAAATTGGAACCCAGAGCTGGGGCTGGGGATCCAGCCTCCCGGCGGCTGTTCTTGGATCTGACCTGCATCTAGGCCAGCTGCCGCAGGAAGGCGCCATTCTGTCGCGGCATCCAGCATAGGGCCAGCTCCAGGGTCAGCCTCTGTGGCTTCCACAAGGGCTTGGCAAACAGGTGAGGCAGCAGCAGGGCCTGTGGGAGCTGTCTTGGCACAGGTGTGTGACCAGTGACCTGGGAGGCAGGAAGGCATCTCCTGGCCTGCCCCAGCTAGCGATAAGCTCCTGGCAGGGCTCACACTGCTAAACACTGGAGCAGCAGCCTGCATAGGTATGAGCAGGGGATAGCTCCAGGGCAGCAGTGCCCACCCCATCTGTCCATGCATAAAGTAGTCAACTCTTTTTTTTGAGTTGGAGTCTCACTCTGTCACCCAGACTGGAGTGCAGTGGCCGCTCCCGGCCACCGCAGCCTCAACCTGCTGGGCTCCGGCGATCCTTCCGCCTCAGCCTTCCAAGTAGCCGGAATTACAGGCATGCGCTACCACACCCGGCTGATTTTGTGATTTACTGTAGAGATGAGGTCTTGCTGCCCAGGCGGGTCTCGAACTCGCGGGCTCAGGCTTTTTTTTTGAGTTAGAGTCTCATGCTGTCACTCAGGCTGGAGTGCAGTAGCACGCTCACGGCCACTGCAGCCTCGACCTGTTGGGTTCAGATCCTTCCTCCTCAGACTTCCAAGTAGCTGGCACCACAGGCATGTGCCACCACATCCAGCTAACTTTTTGATTTATTATAGAGACGAGGTCTCACCAAGTTGCCCAGGCTGGTCTCGAACCCCTGAGCTCAAGCAATCCTCTCGCCTCGGCCTCCCAAAGTACTGGGATTACAGGTATGAGCCACCACACCCAGCATCACTCCCCCGCCCCCGAGCTGGAGTCTCACTCTGTCACGCAGACTGGAGTGCAGGGGCATGCTCACGGCCACCACAGCCTTGACCTGCTGGGCTCAGGCAATCCTTGCACCTCAGCCTTCTGAGCAGCTGGAACTAAAAGCACCTGCTACCACACCCGGCTAATTTTTTTTTCTGAGTTGGAGTCTCACTCTGTTGCCCAGACTGGAGTGCAGTGGCACGCTCCCAGCCACCGCAGCCTCGACCTGCTGGGCTCCGGCGATCCTTCAGCCTCAGCCTCCACCACACCCAGCCAATTTTTTGATTTATTGTAGATATGCGGTCTCACTAAGTTGCCCAGGCAGGTCTCGAACCCGTGGGCTCAGGCAAATCCACTCCCCTCAGCCTCCCAAAGTGCTGGGACTACAGGTGTAAGCCATCACACCTGGATGAAGTAGTCACTCGAAACGGCCAGGCCACAGAGAAGGCAGATTTTGAGGCTGCCATGAGGCCAAAAAGATGAAGGTTTCTAAAAGGGACCCTTCTATGTGGTGTCTGCCCTGCCTCATGCAGGGCAGGTGGGGCGGTATGCGGGTTTGCAGCTGCTAGGTGCCCTTGGGAGTGGTGTTCAGAGGCGGCAGCACTACCCCTGCCCTGAGCCCAGGTCACACAGACTGGATCTGGCAACCTCCGGGGCTCTCCCCGCAGCTCCTTGTCTCACTGTAGTGAGGGTCTTGTCTCCTCCCCATCCCATCAAGCCTCCTTCAACCTTGGGTCCCTGGCCCTGCCCAGTCCAGAGGGGACCTGGCTGGAGTTGTGAAGGGGTGGCACCCTGGGAGCTGGCACTGACTTCCTGGCTTAGATCCAGTCATGCACACCAGAGGCCACTTTGCTGGGCTGACCCCAGCCTGAGGCTGTCCTTTCCTAGGCGCTTTTAGAATGCAGCCATTCCATGTATTCCAGTAGTCTCTAATGAGGCTACCATCCCATAGTATTTTTTTTTTTTTTTTGAGTTGGAGTCTCACTCTGTCACCCAGACTGGAGTGCAGTGGCCGCTCCTGGCCACCGCAGCCTCGACCTGCTGGGCTCCGGCGATCCTTCCGCCTCAGCCTTCCAAGTAGCCAGAATTATAGGCATGCGCTACCACGCCCGGCTGATTTTTTGATTTATTGTAGAGCTGAGGTCTCGCTGCCCAAGCGGGTCTCGAACCCGCGGGCTCAGGCAATCCACTCACCTCAGCCTCCCAAAGGCGCGGGATTACAGGCTGAGCCACCGAGCCCAGCTTCATCCCATAGTATTAGAGTGCATTTCCTGCAGATGCCTGGACCATACCCATGTGTTGGTGGGCCCAATACCCCTGGGCCTGGCTGAAGCCCCACTGTCTTGGTGTCGGCAGTTCTTTGGCCTGTGTCTGACGCCTAAGGCCCCTGGTCCAGGGCTGGCACTGGGAGCCCCATCCCACTCCCTCTTCAGTGACCAGTACCGAAAGCCAAAGCTCTCTGAGGTTCTAGGCTTAAGCTCCTTAATGGCAGCCATGACACACACATAGTGCCACACTGCAAACGGTCTCACATCCCTCCCAATAGCTGCAGGGCCCAGAAGCCACGGCACCTCAGCGCTGGGAGGTAGGCCCGTCAACCAGCCAGGGGACTGTGACCCCAGGGTGCCCCCCTGCCTCCCGACCCCCTCACAAGGGTCCCCATCATTCCTTTGGCCTGAGAGAATCCTGCCCTGCCTGCCACCCCTCCCTGGCCCTGAAGACTCCAAGCACCAGACTCCCTGGCTCCTTCGGGGGCGTTTATTTCCCGGTCAGAAAAGGAGAAGCAGGGACAGGCGCCTCTGCCTGAGCCCGGCAGACACGACACGAAGACCGGGGACGGGGCAGGGAGGCACAGGAGACGGCTCTCAGCTGTGTGCGCTTGGTCCCACATTTGTCCTGCTGGGCTGGGGAGGGCCTGCCCGGGATGGTGGCACCGAGAGCCTGGGGGCAGAGGCACAGGCCAGCCGGCCCAGGGACGGCACATATGGAGGCAATAAATACTGACAGGCCAGGCACGCAATTCCAGGCCGGCGGGCCCAGGTGGGATGAGTAAGGCTCGGCCGCTGGCTTTGTCCTCCAGGGCTCTCTGGGGGGTGGATTGAGCTCCACCCACTGAGACAGAGAAGGCAGAGGCCTCCGGGATGGGACTGGAGGCGACTTGAGTTTTGGCAATTTGGCTTTCCCCAAGCCACCAGAGCCGTCCCCACAGGCCTGGTGGGGGAGGGGAGGGGCTGGCTGGGCCCTGGCAGGCCAGCAGCAGCAGCAGCACCCCCGACACCTCCCCAGGTTACCGGCTTCGCGAACGGGGCAGGGGAGACCACATGCTCATGCAGACACGGGGGAGTTAGAGGTTAGTGAGGCCCCCACAGCACGTGCCACATGTTAAGGCATCATGGTTAGACGGTACTGACAGCGATGGATGAACTGGCCAGAGAGATGGCCTGGCCCCCATGAGGTCCTGTGCCCCGCTCCACCTTGGAAGCAGGAGACAGGGCTCAAGAGGATGAAAGCACCCCAGGAGACCCCACAGGATGCTCCACTTCCTTCTAAAGCCAGGACTCAGGCATGACAGGGTGAGGGAACCTGGAGGAATACAGAAAGGGTGGAGGCCTGGGGAGGCTCCCTCCCCCACAGCACAGGCAGAAGCAGCAACGAGACACTAGACCACCGAGGAGGCTGGGGGCCTGCGGGCGTGGGAGGGCTGAGGGACAGTTTGGAGAAGTCCGGCTGGGCCAGGCCGGGAGGCAGACCGGGTGGAAGGACAGCCGGGGAAGGGCCCTGTCAGCACTTTGGTATGGGGTGGGGAGAACTGGGGGTGTGGGTGGGGCACATCCGTCCGTCCGTCTGTCTGTCCACCCTGCCTGCCTCCTGGGTCGGGGCTCAGTCCTTCCATTCCTTTTTGATGGTGAGATTCCACTCCCAGGACAGGTGGTCAGTCTTGTCATCGTCTGTGAAGCGGGACTTGATGTTGTAGCTGCCCCGAGCCAGCATGCCCTTTGGTGCCTCCTCCATGGGGGTCAGGAACTCATACTCCTCTGCCCGGGGCCCGTAGCTCCCCACCATGTAGTCAGTCTTGTCAACTGTGGGCACGGGGAAGGGGATTAGCCAGCTGCTCTGATCTGCCCAGCCCCGCCAGTTCACACCTGGGTGGCCCCCACTGTCCCTCCGTCCCACTCACTCTTGACGCCTTTCCTATATGTGTGCTGGATGTACTTCATGCCCGACACGATCTCTCTGTTCACCTGGGAGGACACAAAGCTAGGGTCAGCCCCAGCCCCAGCCCCAGCCCTCCCCAGCCTCCACCAGAAGCCGCCTTACCCGGAAAGAGATCTTTATCCGATATTCCACACCCTCCTTCAGCACAAACGACTGCTTCTTGAAGCTCTCCAGGTCACCTGTGTGGGGGAGGCTGCTCTGCTCAATGATGCCCAACTGCTTCCGGAGATCCCCCCCCCCTCCCCTCCTCCCCACAACTCTAAGCCCCCACCACCTCCTCAAAGATCACCGGCTGCACTTCCTGTGATACCCACTAGGGGGACACAGCGCACCAGGAAATTATTTTTAGGGGCGGCCTGGGTATGCCAGAAGCCCCACCCAGGACCTCAGCACCCCCCTCACCTGTCAGGTCCAGCTCCAAGGGGCCCGGGGCGCTGCTGCACACCAGGGTCAGGCGGGTCACAGTGACGTTGGGGACGTTGGGGTCTGAGGAGTGACAGCAGGTGAGAGCCTGCCTGACCCCTTGCCCTTCCCACCGTCAACACTTGGGGGAGGGCCCAGGGGAGCAGCAAGAGCGCTGTGGGGCTGCCCAGCCCACTCACCTGCAGAGACAGTCACACGGCCCAGCAGGGCCTCCTTGTACTTTCGCAGGCTCTCATCATCCTTGTCCAGCTCCTGGATCTCTTGGATGCTCTTCTGGGCTGGGGGCTTGTAGTTGACCGAGTGTTCATCCTCCTCGTTCTCAGCTGCAATCTGTGCCAGCTGCTCGGCTGTGGGCTCCTGCTCGGCCATGCTCACCACTCGCCTGGGTCAGGGACACCTGTGGGCAGGTGGGGGTGCAGAGCTATAGCAGGCTGTGGAGGAGCCCAGGCAGGAGGCTGGCCTTGGAACGTGGGCCCTTGAGGGAGGTGCACTTTCTGAGCAGAAGGGTGGGCTGCAACCAGAGCACCACAAAGAGGAAGGTTCCAGAGACTCAGAGGGGGCGGCCCTTGCCTTCTCTCCCTGCCCACCTCAGGGGGAACCTCTGGGGCACTGTGAGAGGGCCCCACCCAAGGTATGGCATCCGCGACCAAATGGGAACTGCTGTCTGTCCTCAGAGAAACAGGGCACGCCTCCCCATCCCCCAAGGAGGAGGCAGCATCCCCCAGGCCTTCTTCCCAGGGCAGACTTCCAACGCATGGGAAGACTAGCTGGCCCCAGACCCAATTGGCAAGGCCCACACTAAATCATCTCTAGGATGCTACTGCTCTTTTTGAGAACCCACTATGGGGTAACAGTCGGGTCTCCCTGACCAAGGAGTCTCCTTCAGCTGTGCTAGTCACCTGCAGGACCCCGGTCTGTTCTGGCTCCTCCTGCACACACAGGATGCTCTTAAAGCTCATTTACCGGGGCCACGGGTCCAACGGGTCAAGGAAATCCTAAATGTGTCGAGATTCCCTTCAATGGTGAGGGCCTGTGACCTAGAACTTGGGAGCTACCACAACTTTTCAGTATTTTCCGACCCTCCTCCTCCTGTGGCCCAAGAGCGCCAGAGGCAACACCGACACAGCAGGAACCCGAGCGCGAGACTGCCCATCAGGCTCAGATTCTTCTGGGCGGCGTGGGAGATGGGTCAGAGCGCAGTCGCCCCCGGACCCTAAGCCCGAGAGTGGCCTCCTGCCATCACCGGGGGCACTCCCGCCTAGACGCCGCCTGGCCGCTGGCGACGGAATCCCGGGGCGCGGCCCGCACTTCCGCAGGGTCCGCAATCCGGGCAGGGTGCGGCCGGGATGCTCGCAGGAGGCTGCG